AAATAGTGTCTTTGCGATGTAATTAGTTAAGATGAGCTCATACTGCATTAGAGCGGGCTCTAAATTCAATATGACTGGTGTCCTCAGAAGAAGAGACATGGAGACACACAGGGAAGAAGGCCAGGTAATGACAGGGGCGGAGACCGGAGTGATGCATCTACAAGCCAAGGAACGGCAAGGATTTTCACCAGCAGCTGGGAGAGGCATTCGAAGAAACACTCCCTCCGAGCCTCCAGAAGGAACCAACGCTGCTGACACCTTGGTTTCAGTTTTGTAGCTTTCAGAATGGTGAGAGAATACATTTCTGCTGTTTTAAGCCTCTGGTGTGTGGTACTATGTATGGGAGCCCTAGAAAACGAAGAGAGTCACTTCTGGGAACACCACCTAGGACAGCCAATTGCATCACAGACACTGCCTTCAAGATAGAGTTCAGGCTCCATAGATGAAAGGCCCTCAGCCTCTGCCTACCCAGCGTCACATTCCCTTTCCCTGCCACACTACATTTCAGTCCTGGGACTCACTCACTGGCAGGTCCCTGAAAAGCCTTATCATTTTGCCCTGAAGTACTTTTTGCCCACATGCTACTCATATGCCTAGAATGTCCCACTTCCTCCATTCCTGGCAAACATCTTAAAAAATCAGCTAACTTTTCATCTTTTGTGTAACATTTCCTCTGACTTCTTAATCAAGACCTGGGTGCTCTCTTTCCTTAGACCCTGCTAAGATTAAAACAAAAACCAAAAAACTATACAATGGGCATAATAACAGTACTTACCTCAAGTATCAGTGTGAAGCATAAATGAATTAATACATGTAAAGTCCTTAAAATCATGCTTGTCAAGTAGGCACTTAATAAGTATTTGCTCTTATTATCAGTGATGAGAGTATTGCATTAATTATATTTTGTGTATAAGTGTTTGTTTACCCATTTGTAAATCCTTCAAAGGCAAGAGCCACATCTGAGCTCAGTGTAGTGATTAGCACAGAGTTGATATGCAATTAAATTTATCAAATGTGATCATGGACTGGTACTCAGTATTATAAAGATGTCAAATCTTCTCAAATTGATTTATAGATTTAGTGCAATATAAATGAAAATCCCAGCATGTTTTTGTGATATTGATAAACCAATTCTAAACTTCATATGAAAATGCAAAGGGGCAAGAATATCTAATTTCAAGAAAGAAGTGCAAAGTCGGAAGGTTGTATATCAAGACATATACAGCTACAGAGATTAAGCCAGTGTACTTAAGCAAGGAAAGAAAAATAGGCCAATTGAATAGTCCGGAGTCCAGAACAGTTTCCACAACTATATGGAAACTTGGTTTATGAAAAGATTTACCATACAGCAGTGGGAGAAAAACGATATTTTCAATAAATGTTGCTGGGACAACCGGATAACCATAGGCAAATCTTGGTCTTTAACTCACATCATACACAAAGTAAACTTCACATAGATTGTAGAGCTAAATGTGAAAAGTAAAACAATAAAGATTTTAGAAAGCAGCATAGGTAAAATGTGAATGACCTTGGAGTAGAAAAAGTTTTAAACTAGATATAAAAAAGCATTGATAAAAAGGTGAAGATATACAAATGGGATGATATTAAAATTTTGCTCATCAAAAGACACAATTAAGAAAAAGTAAGCAACAGTTAATACATATAACCAAAAATTGACTTTTACCCAAAATATATAAAGAACTCTTCCAGATCAATAACAAGATGAACAGAGAAAAATAGGCAAAACACATGAGCTACCACTTCACAAAAGAAGGTGCCCCAAGAGTCAATAACCATATGAAAAAGCATTCAACCTCATTAGTCAACAGGGAAATAAAAATTAAATCCACAATAAAATACTATTGAATGTCTACCAGGTTAACTGAATTTAAAAGGATCAATAATATCAAATGTTATTAACTGGCACTCTCACAATACCATTGATAAACTGAAAATGAGCAATTTTCACTGGAAAACTCTTTGGAAGTATTTACTGAAGCTGAACATATACATACCCCTTGACCCAGCAATGCCACTCCTAAATCAACAGAAATGCATATTTACATGCACCACATGACACCTCTAAGAATGTTCATATTATTTGTAATAGCACCCAACTGGAAACACTCAAACATCTATCAGATGTAGAATGGATATATAAATTGTGGCATATTCCTAGAATTGCCTTATAGTAATAAAAATGAACAAATTGCTACTACATACAACATGGATAAATCTCACAAACACCCTCTTGAGTGAAAGAAGATAGACACAAAAGAATACAAAGGTCTGATTACATTGATATATGTTTATATAAAGTTTAAAAACAGGCAAGAGCTCAGGGCAGTGGTTACACGTGTGAGAAACGGGAGCGAGTACAGATTTGACGGGGCACAGGATGCCCCTGGGGTGCCAGTCGTGTTCTATTACCTGATCTGGGTGCCAGTTGCATGACTGTATTCAACGTGTCATAATTCACTCAGCTGCATGATTTTTGGACTTTTCTGTATGTAAGTTACATTTTGATTAAAATATTATGAAACAATGTTTCTGAATGATAAATGTTCATCTTTTTGTACATCTGCGCAATGCCCTTAAAGGACTAATTATAAACTCAGCTTCCCAGAATGCTGCATTCCTATAGGTTCTGGAGGCTGAACTCAGTGTGGGTTTCAATCCATAATCATCATTGTGATGATGGTATTATACACTATAATCTGAAAGAAGAGAGGAGACCCTATCCCTCCACAGAACCCCATTATATGACTCTCTCCTGAAAGGAACAAATGTGCAGCATGCTTTGAGTCCCAGTAATGACTAAAGATGACTGCTTAGCAATAAATAATAGAATCTTCTCTCTAATGACTCCTTCCAAGTGCCTCCCAAGAGAGGCCATTAAGAGACCCAAGAAATTGAAGAAAAATGCTTACAAAGGAATAAAAAAGAAAAGGTCCATTCGGAGCCATCATGTTGAGCACATACAGGGAACCGGTTAAGAGCAAATATTTTGGATTAGAATCCTAGAGCTTCCACCTATTAATTATNCCAAAAACAAAACAAATTTGACCGGGCACATTCCTCCATTATTAAACCAATAAGGGTCACATATCCAACTCAGACTAGCATGTCTTGGGGACCTCAAGCACACTCATCTTTGTAAACTCATTTACACCCAGAGAGGTTGTATAAACAGCTATTTTCACCGCTGGTAAATGAGCTCAGGGAAATTAAAGGGCTTGCACAATGTCATACTCGTACAGCTGCTAAACCCAAGTCCATCTGAGTCCAGAGCCACATCTTTCCCTGCCCTGAGGAGCTGGGGCAGTTTCCCCCAGAGAACCCAGGTCCTCCGTTTGGGAAGGATTAAAGAGGCCAACGGGGTTACGCCGGCGTCCCTCCCGTCCACCAAGAGGACTGGCTGTTTCCCAGCTCAGCCGAGAGGCTGGTCGGTTTGGCTACTCCAGCCGCACGCCAACCCGCCTAATCTGTGCCGGGCTAGGTCGGGTGTCCTCCACCCAACGTCTTTCTCCTTTTCGGTGAAGTCCTGACGATCCCGCTGACCAGCGCGCCGGGGTCTGAGGGGGTGCTTTCCAAGCGCCGGGTGCCTCCACGTGCCAAGGGCGCCAGGAAGCCGGCTCTGGGTAGCTCCAGGTGGAGAAAGTCAGGGAGGGGGGTGGGGGTGGAGAGCACGAACCCGAGACAACGGGAGAAGCTTCTGAGAAGGGCGGTTCCTGGTTCTCGTCGCTTGTGTGGCCCGCTGACACTGCCCCAAACTTTCTCCAGTGTTGCTCCCACGGCTTCCTCCCGCGACACTAGGAACCGGGAAGCCGGGGTGGAAGGGCGACTGCTGTGAGCCCATTTGCCCCACCAGGAGCCCCCAAAACCCGCTTTTCCCTGCTTGGCACCAGAGATGATATATGAAGGGGTGAGGGTGGGGGAACACGAGCTCCGCCCGTGGGGCTCCAGGTGAGGCCAGGCAGGCTGCTTTCCCCGCCTGGTGTCCTATCTCCCACCTGGAGAACAGCAGCTGCTGCTGCCTGGGGAGATGACTGGGCTGAGGAGGCAGTCGGTGGGCCATGGGAATGGAGCCAGGGGTCTTCACGTCCGTGCGGGTGCAGCTACCAGTCCTGCCCAGAAGGCGCTCACCTGCTTGCACGTCCCCTCCCTGCGCTCGCGAAAGCCCGCTCTCAGCTGAGGAGCTGAGACGCGACATCCCTGGGACGCAAAGCCTACGGGGTTTCGGGAGCCGACGTTCCCCGGCCTCCAGGGAACAGGCCTAGGAATTCGGGCTTCCCTTTCGTCTGTCTCGGGCCCCCCTTTCCTCTCCGAGACGACCCAAAGATCGTTGAAGGCTCGTTCCACTGGGAGCCTGTCCTAGAAATCCAGGTTCTTTTCCGTCGCCTGGGACGATCAGAGAATAACTGCGAGTTCTTTCCAGGGACCCTCCCGAAAAGCTTCAGGCTCTTCCTACCCCGCGACCAGTTAAGGGGGAAGCTTAAAGTCCCTTTTTCTGAAGGGATCTGTCCGAGGAAACTGGAGTAACCGTCCCTCCGGTGGCGGGTCTCAGAGAGGCTGAAAGCTTCTCCTTTAAGGGTGGGAGCAGGGAAAGCCGGAGTTCACCACCTTGCCTGGGACCCAACTGGGAGAAGTCAGGGTCCTCTCCACTCGAGATGGACCTGGATAAAGGCGGGTCTCCAATGCTCTCCTGGAGCTGGCCGGCTCCCTTCCAGCCAGGCCGGTGTAACGCGTCTCTCAGCTACAGCCCACGCCAGACAACCGCGCGTCGGAGATGGGGGCTGCCTCGCCTGGCTGCGGCCCCCGCGACGGCCCTGGAACCGGCTGGCAGTTAAAAGGGCTAAGGACAGCCAGGACAGAAGGGCCCTTGCGGGACTGCGCCGGCACTGTCCACCCGGGGACTGTGCGCCCTCCTCCGGCACCGCGCGTTCGGCGCCCTATGGGGTCTGGGTCCCGCGCCCCCAACGCCACGCCCGACCACTTACCGCGGTAGCTGGTTCCCGGCTTGTAGAAGTCGGGGTCGCTCTCCACGCGGAGGCTGAACTCGGTGTAGCCCTCGCGCCTCGTGCCCTGAGCGCGCAGGATGCGGCTGCAGTAGCCCTCTGACTTGGGCACTTTGTCCAGGGTCTCGTCGGAGAAGGCCAGCGCCACGGCCAGGGGCAGCGCCAGGGCCAGCAGCGCTGGACTCCGGCTCAGCCTCAGGAGCGCCGGGGACAGCCTCATTCTCACCGGCCCCCAACTTTGTGCCGCTGCCGCCGGCTCTCGCCACGCGACTCCTGCCCGAAGGGGTCCCCGTGGAAGCGAGACCAGGGGGAGCCCGAGCGGGAGTGCCGGCGCTGGCGGCTGAGAGACTGTGCCTGCCTGGACTCGGTGGCTGCCGAGCTGCGCTGCGCTGCGCTGAGCTGAGCTGAGCCGAGCCGAGCTCTTCGAGGAAGGGAGGGCGGCGGCGAAGGAGGAGGGAGAGCTGATTTTGCCCAGATCCCCGAGCGCAGCGCTGTTTTGTTTTCTGGGCTGGCGATTAGCGGCGCGGCCGTGTTTATTTTGCGATGCTGGATTCCCAGGGTCTGGCGAGGAAATCATAAAGGTACAGGGACACTGCGGGCTCTGTCCCACCACCAAGGAGGCCGCTGCCTCAACTCCCACCCGGCCACACTCCGGATCGTGTGGAGGAGAATGCTTGAAGGAGGGAAAGACAGAACGAACTTTTGTTTCACACCTACTCTGCGCCTAGTGATCTGTTGGGTGGTGTACTTATGGTATCTGCTCACCTTCTCCACCCTCACTGCCCACAATAATCATAACATTACTTTCATTCTTTTTATAGATGAGCAAACTGAGCCTTCAGCCACACAGGTAAGGCAGGGTCAGATGCCATGACGCTCTTCCCATAGCCGCGTTGGAACAGGTCAGACTGGGAGATGAAAGACGGAAACAGTGGCTCATGCATTGGGCCCATCAGACACTGTGACCTGTGGCCTGGAATACTTTTGGAGATTCCTGAAAATGTAAAACGTTTTCTTTACAATCAGAAGAAATACAACTATATAGGTCCAGTAAAATGTTTCACTGTACAATATTAATATATTTTTATTTATAGCTACATAATACCATATCTACATAAAACCACAGTGACTACTATTGTTTTATGAAGGAAGGCGCTCACAGAGACAAAAGTGCCTAAGGTCCACAAGAATCCTCATATAGCCTTGGAAAGGAGTTTTGAAACAGTTCAAAGAAAAGCCTGTGTTTTCTTGGCTTAGACTTCAGTTCAAGCTCTCAGGCCACAGTGACAGATGTTTGGAGAGGAGCTGAGCTTGAGGGCTCACTGGGCAGAGCCTCAGGCATCAACCCCAAGGCCAAACAGGAGAAGGCCCAGGTGCAGGAATCTCTCCCAGGGTTTCCCTGGGCACTGACCGGAATCAAACCGTAGTCCTACCACTCAGCCATTGTGAGAGTTGAGCAAGGTGTTTTACCTCTCCAAGCTTCAATTTTATGCGCTGGAGGTGTCGGTGTGTACCTGTGGGCTAACACACTCTTCCTCTTGGGGTGCTAGAATCACATTAAATGACCCATATAAAACACTTGGGCTGCTCGCTTGTTGCCCCCCCCCCCCCAATGGGTCTGGCTGGCCCTGCAAGCTGCAGTAATGAGATCAAGTTCACCTTGGAGGTGCCTTAAGGCCTAGGCCTCCCCTCAGTGTGCCCATCCCACCTCAGGGGCTCTCAGAAGTTTTGGTTACTCACTCTTCCTTCCCCGGAGCTGTCAACACACCATAAGAGCTTACCTTTAAAAAGCAATCTCCTTTGCTTTCCGGGTCAGGTTTTTCTCTTTGACATCACTAACAGCCCAGAGGAGCCATCTGTATTGGAAGTCTCCATTCCTTTCACCAGCCCACTTAGTCCTCCATTCTTGTGCTGGAACTCCCGCTGCCACTATTAACTGGATACCTTTTCTCTGAGGTCCCCCGAGAGTTCCCCTTTGCTGAAGCCAATTACTGTATGCTCTTTTCTCAGCCCTGACCCTCAGCAGCGACAGATCCGGCTGACCAGCCTTCCTTTATAAAAGTGACACTCAGATTCACATCTGTGCCCTGAGTGAATTATCCCCGGCCTTACTGTCCTGGCTTGGAACTCATGCCAGACTCCACGGTGCACAAGCCCAGTGATCTGGCAAGCTCGCATTGAGTGTAGAGTTGGGGCCAAGTCTGGTCTGGGCTGAGCAGTGGGCACCAGAGAGAACAAAAATTTATTCATTCATTTATTCATTTATGTCCAAGGCCCTCCATTACTCAGCTCTGGGACACAAGACAGGTGGATATATTGCTTGTCTTTGTGGATCTCCCCATCCTGTGGGAAAGGTGACTATTAAATACAGTTACACAAATCTTTTCAAATTATAATTGTGATATATGCTACAAACTAAGTGGTTCCTAGCATACCCGATTTTATCTTACAGGACAGGAAATCACCAAGTTGCATAAAATATGGCTTCCGTCTTCAGGAAGCTTATTGTACGTCCAATAGCCGAAATATGTGCTCCTGAATATCTTCTCATCTAAATCAACATATTCAAATGTAACATGAAGGTGGGTGGGCCAAGGATGTAATAGTGAAGTGTTTATGGGACCTTGACAGGAAAACCATGTCAGCTAGACCACTTCCTCTTCCCACTTCTGGTTTCCAGATTAGGAACCTATAAAATTATCTGTCTAGGTGCGATAACTGGCAAAGGAAAAAGAACCAGCATTCAACATAGGCCTCACCAACAACAAAATGGGGTTCTTCCCACTGACCCCATCATCTGGGCAATGACAACAGGCTCTAAGCAGCCCATCAAGCCTCAATCCCGCTACCCAAGCTAGATTTCCCCACCCCACCCCAGCTCTGCTGTCATGTCAGACCTCTGCTCTCTCTCCACACTCCTAATCCATCACAAAGTCATTAGCTTTACCTTCCACTACGTCTTGCATCTGTCCACTTCTCTCCTCCTCTGCCACCACACCAGTCTGAGTTGTCATCATCTCTCAGCCTCCTAATTGGACTGCCCTCATCTCCTCTTGCTCCCTTCCAATCTGTCTTCTGCACTGAAGCCCAAATGATCCTTTTTAAAATGCAGATTTGAATATCAATCCCAAGGTTAAAATCCTTTTTCAGTGGCTTTTCAGGGCTCTCAGAACAAAGACAGAGATTTTTTTTTAAGTAAAATGGTTTATCAGTTGGAAAAGTGTCGTATTAATACTTTTCATAATGAAAATTTCTGTTTACAGGTTACAAAATGCAGACTATATTTTATGAGAACAAAGAGAATTTTTAATGTGGCCTCCAAGGTCCCGCCTGACTGCCTCTGAGGCCATGTGCCCCTTCTCTCATGGGCTCCAGCCACCACAGCTATCTGCTTTGTGAACTTTTGCCTGTGTGGTTTTCTCTGCCTGGAATCCAACATGCTTTAGTCTCTCTCACCCACCATCCTCTCCCAGCTAACACCTATGCATCCATCAGATCTCAGTGCAAAATTGCTTCCTCAAAGAAGTCCTTCCTGATTTCCGGGAACAGAGCCTCCCCACTTTTTATATGCTCTCCTGGAACCTGATACTTTTTCTCTTAATGTTCTCAGGTTTTATAACCGCCTATTCATTTATATGTTTGATTTCTACATTTTATATTTGTTCTGTGTCTGTCTCTATCTCTAGATTTTCAGTTTCATAAGGGCAGGGACTGTCTCTGGGACTCACTACTTTATCCTCTATGCACATCACGTGCCTGGCTCCGTAAATATTTGTTCTATGAATAAAAGTCTTTGACAGTCTCCCAGTGCCGTGTGACTCAGCCCAAGCCCTTCAAGTGACCTTTAAGACCCTCCATTATCTGGCCATAGATCCCAGACTGAGCTCCCAGTGACAACCAGCTGGGTTCTCTTGTCCCCCTCGTTCAGATTTGACTCAGCACCTTTGCTTTTAGCTTTCCCATCACCTACAATGCTCTTCCTTTTCTCCTGCCTGTTTAGATTCTCCTCTCCTCCAGAAAATGAGGTCCTTTATTCTCTCCTCTGAACTTCAGTAGAACCTATGAGGAGAAACATTTCTTATTTTGACTATTGTGCTCTGATGGATTGTCATGAACTGTTTGGTGTGTCTGTGTCTCATCTCCTAGCAATGAACCCAGTTTACTTTCTGTTTAATTTCCTGTTCAGATGTTTTGTTCTGTTGTAAAATACACTGGACTTCAAGAAACCTCTTTCCAGTTTTGTAGCCTAAGGCAGAGCTGATGTTAGTTGCTAGGGCGTTGTTAGGGAAAGTCATTTAACCAGGGCAGATAATTAATTTTATCAGTGTGTGTGGGTAGGTCATAGAAGAGAAGAGTTGGGGGCTCCACTTCTCCAAGAAAAAAAGAAGTTTCTTTGATTGGTAAAAGGTGAGATCAGCCTCTCCACCCCATCACACACACACATACACACACCCCTCTCTTAAAGAGAAGCGGGGAGGGAGTGTCTAGATTAGTGTTTCTAGAGTATGGTCATTCATTGAAACACACACATAAAATGTTTGCCTCACGTGCAAGGTCCTAAAGCCCGTCCTAGACCTAGTGAATTTGCACTTTGAACAAATTCAAACTACAGTTGAGGGACTCACTGTCCCAGAGCTTGTAATTCAGACTTGAGGTGCGATCATCTCTCTAACTTCCTCTGCTCCAATGAGTTTGACTCCATCCATACCAACTGCCTTCCCCCACTGAAACATCCTCAGCTTTGGAAATCTCTTCTCCCAACAGCCCTCTCTCATTCCACTTTCAGCTTTCCCATCTCCTCACCCCCTTGCATTGACTCCTCTTTATTATTGAGACTGACAATTGCTTCATCCCTTCTGATTGTCCCACCTATCTTGTTGTCAGTTCCTTCCCCACCAAGTCTGGACACCATGCTTAACCACTTTAACGACATCCTCATCAACACTTCTCATTAGGTCACCTCTTTCATTTCTTTACCTCCTCTCTGACTAACCCCCGTCCCTAGATCAACTAAGCAGAGCAATGGAACTACCCCAGGCTTCTGAGTTCTGCTGCATAAAACCTGGCAACCCCACCAACAGCCCTATTCAAAACTCATGAATTCTATTCTTAACCATAGCTTTAAAATATATTCCTTATCAGTTTCATTTCCCATTCTTCATAGTGTCTTCTCTCTTATTTCTAGTCCTCATCATTTTTTCAAGGCTGCTGTATCACTTTTGTTAGTCTTTGGGGAGTAACCTGGTCTCTTATTTCACCCCCCAATAGAGAATATTAGGAATGTACTTCCTCAAATCTGTCTCTTCTATCCTTATACCAAACTCTGGCAAAACCCAAGTTCATTTTTTTGCCCCAAAGGAAGAGTTCTGACTCATCAATTCTGCCAAGCTAATCCCTTCCTTATGTTCTTCTCCTCACTCCCCCTTCCTTATGCTGAACGCTGATCTGGCTGCTACCTTCTCTCCCTTTTGTATTTCTGTTTCCCTTCCGTCCATGTCCTCAGCTTGCAGACACTAGTAACTCCCCCGCCCCACCCAGGAGGAGGGTAGCAGTGTGGAGGTGGGGGGATGAGGTGGCACTAGGCATGACACTGGACCTTTCACTGATTTTTTTCTCCTTCCCCAGCTGTTCTCTTACTATATTTCAGAGTCCAACTTGCTGAAAGAGTGTCATTCCTGTCTATCTCTACTCCCACCATTTCCATTCATTTTTCCACACAGTGCAGATTGGGATCAGCTCATGTCTCTCTATTGAAACTGCTCCAACAGAGGTCACCTAAGACCCCCTAATTGCCATAGTTATTGTCTGAATTAAAACAGACAAAAGCTGTCAGTAAGGGCCCTGTCATTGCACAGCTGAATAAAAGCTCACCACTTGAAGAAGTTAAAGGGAAGTACTCATCTGGGAGTCCTCTAAAGAGCAGACCTGGTCCCAACCTGGAGACCTCTCAGCCTCCCTGCTTTGGGTTTATGGATTAGAGAGGGCATTGTGTCGGAATGCAATACAGTATGTCAGGTGCAGCTATGGGCAGCTCCCAAGAGCAAGCTCTTGCAAGTCCAGCCATGTGCAGAACCTAGTGACAGCTCACTTCCCGCTGTGGTTTTCTTGCTATTAATCTAGCTAGCCCAATCACCTTTCAAAGTTCTGGAACTTCATAGCTTAGATCACAGGACCATGGCACATTACTGCCACCTGGTGACAGCAAACTGAACATGCAGCAATATTAAGTAAGGAACTCTCAAGGCTTTCATAAGGCCACCTTGTTAGGCCTGTTTTAGACTAAACTGTTTGCTCTTTGAGTGTTGAGTCATTGAGTTTTCTACTGAGTTTAAATATTGTGTCTGCGTGAACTAGGTATTCAATAAATTTTTGTGATATTTAGGCCTGTCATTCAACAAACATTTATAGATATTAACTGGGAGGAAGGTGATACAAAGACAAGACAATTCCTGTCTTCAAAAAGCTACAGAGACTGACAGAGACTCAAGATGGTAGAGTAGATAAATGCTATGTTTGCCTCAACCCCTGAATACATAAAAATTACAGCTAAATTATAGAGCAATCGACCTGGAGAACCATCTGAAGCCTAGATGAACAGAAGTTTTATAACTAAGGATATAAAGGGGAAGCCATGTCAAGACTGGTAGGAGGGGCCGGCCGAGCG